TTCTCAGCTCATCGCCAAGTAGACAGTCTGTTCGATGATACCACTGCGTATTAACTGATTATTGAAGTAGCTATTGTAGCGGTAAATAATTTCCCAAAATTATTGACCACAGCAATCACTCACTATTGGATGCTGACCACCACTGTTTAAGTCGACTTGTTTAGCTGAAGGCTTCCGGTCAAGCATCCCCGCCATTTGATATCCCGTCGTGTCACGTGCACGATCACTAGCCAGCTAAGCGTTCGTCTGACGGCTTGTTTTGGTCCCGAAATATATCACGTAGTTTGGACGATCAAATATTGGCTTTTGCTTTGTTTTTGGTACGCGAGAATAAATTATTTAGAAGTTGCTGAACAAGATATCCGTCAACCTCTAAACTATCAACCCTAATTTACTTGTATTACATACTTGGCGTTTAGCAGTATACAGACTAGCAGCTGGCTAAGTAAGGAGACTTTAGCGTAACGAATATTACAGAATTATTATTCAACTTGCCATATTCTACTTGGTTTTTACAATGTGCTTTTGTATAGAAGCAGACGCGAAATCCTCTGAATGATTTAAGTAACAGTCTCATAAGACTATAGTAAGTCTCCATTCCACTAAGCTAAACATGCATTAATCAGAATTCACATATTACGAAAGCTCATAGTATAGCGACGAACTGAAGACGTTCAGAAGAAGTAGAAATGAAGAGTATATTAAAAATGTTCTTAGTTTACGAGAGAAAATTTTGATGACGGGTATTAGCATTAGTTTGACAGATTGACATTTCCACTGATTTCACATTCCACAACCTCCATATACCTAAAATATGAAGCACAACACAAATTTATGAAAGATTATTTATATATTAGTACACGCTGATTATGTTAATAATAAGTAAAGTTCTCATACAATTAAAAGTGTTTGTAGTCCACAGCTGGTCTTTATATTGACGCATAAATAGACTTCATAAGTTCTCCAACGTTAGATCACACGCAAATTTCAGGATAAACTCTGAAACACCCACACTGTTGAGACGTCATTCTCTCATCAATTTCACACTAAATACGTCTTCGTTAAATGAGGTATTGCAAATGTGTAGCTTAGAAATTCATCCACAATCTCAGTAATGTCTAGTGAGCATAGTTTTCTGAATCCTACAGAAGTTGCATTCTCATATTTAGGAATATGTAGTCATCAAATATAAGCTGAACATGCCTCAACTCTAAGCAACTATGCACAGTGTTAACAACACTTAAAATATTGTAAGACACGCAGACCTGTTGTGTTGGTGAGGATAACAATGAAATATAATGCAACCTAGACATTCAATCGTGATAATGCATCTGTACTGTTTCAGGTAAATGGAAATTTCAGAAGAAATTCATCACTACTGGTAATCAAAAACATTGCAGTATTCAGTTTACAGTGTCAGACGGTAGATTAATAAAATTAGAGCTAACTACATTAGATTCTCGTAGTCAACACAAACCATGTGCATATTATTACTATACACTGGATAATTGCACTAAGTGAAACACTGAGGAAAATTAAACGAGTTATTGCCTTCTTAAATGCACTGCGCTTGCAGCAATCACGAGAACCACCTACATTTGTTAGCCTAGCAGTCAACTAAGCAAACAATGGCACAATATTAATAGATGTTTCTTCTATACTTTGAATTCACATAACCCATACTATACTGCGCCAGTGTAAATGTATATTAAATCCGCTTAGAGAAAACCTTTCAACTTCCCATAATTCCTGTCCAAATATACATACAGTGAAAGATACATCTACAAGATAACTTCTGTACCCAAAGGAGATTCTGTCGGCATTTATAGGTGATTCCTATGTAATGATGGGATTCTTTTGTCAAATAGTGCTGTTCCTCACAGGAAAATAGCCACATTTTGACGTGGTCTTCGTTGAATGACACTGTGTCGAAAGCTGCAGCTTCTACAAGAAGTAAACTATTTGTGTAGATGATATTACCCTCCAACTACCCCATCTTCTTCATTATAGCGATTTTACGACCGATCATGCATGAAACACTTATCACTGTAACCAATATGCTTAAATTGTGTCGCAGTAAGATTACAAGACTCGAATACCAACATAACTAGCCAGGAAATGAGAATTTCTATCAATCCAGAAAACATATAACACAATTTTATTGAAAAATATTGACAAAAAAATTTACCGAGCGAAATTTCAACCAACATGCCGGATAAGTCCAGCCGGAATTACAACAGGTTGCGCTATCGGAAGGTAAGAAGAAAGACACACTAAATAAGACACGCAGGATGCATAACTTACAACCATTATCAGTTAACCGGTTATGAAGGGTTTGCAAATTAATAAAACTTCACATTGGACGGTGAGTACAGCATTATTTTGGTATTAGCAGAAACAAGGGACCAACTTTGCGATGATAAACAGATTTCATGATGGAGGCTGTTCCGTTATTCATCATGTGTGCTAAAAATATTCTGAATCTCTACCAAATATATGTTCTAGTTAATTAAGGACACCGTTCAAGTAATACAAATGTAGAGAGCAGCATTACTGACATTTGCAGTGGTCCAGTGCAGTACCTTCGAAAAGAGAAGATCGAAGAAAACAGCAAGAGAGGTGCAGAGGCAGCTAGCAAATTTTAATAATCTAAATAAGCAGTATACGGTAAGCGCAAAGTTAATTCCCTGATTTTCGCAACTAAGAATTTATGAACGCTGAACTTCAAAGTGTTACACACTAACAATTAGTTCAAGTTTGTGGTATTAAAAAATAAAAGAGAAACGATTGATTTTTCCACCTATATAAGTTAATGTTGGGAACAGATACTGAAGAAGTCAAATCCAGGCGCGAAAGTATATGAAATATGCAGTAGAAAAGCTGAATTTTAGTAATATTTATGCTGTTGTTCTGATTTGTACAATTAGATGTCCTTCTGAAGTAAAGAAACCATACCATGAGCTCGTTTTCAGAGAGTGTGCTCCCAAGCTGTTGCATTCAGCCAGTTTTTATCCTCCTTTTTATTGAAATTATTCAAACTCAGGAGCCTTGGTAATAGGGCGCTCCCCCACAGATAAGACTGCTTCTCTTGAATCCTAACCATCATATCTGCTGAATAGCAGTCACCACTCTCCCACCTCTTAAAAAGAGTAAATGGGCACTTGTCCTCCAGCAGGAGCCAATTCGAGTTTCTTCTCAAATACATGGAGTTGTGTGGTCAACTTTTGCCGAACCCACAGGTCTTTTATCTTCAAATCGACGACGTTTCGTCTCCATTCCACCACGAGGCTGATGCTTCCATGCATTAAGTCAAATTAAGAGGCACAAAACGGGCTTACCAGTCACCCTTCCAGCAAAGAAGTCAAAAGAATTCAATCTGAAAGAAGTGTGGTGAGAGCAGGCTGCTGGTCAATTGGTAGACATTAATTTACGTCAGTGTCTATGTCGCTAATATTGCCCTTGAGAAAATATGAACAAGACTGATTCAGCAACCAATCACAGCAGACTTAACGTGGGCAGATACGATTCGCGGATATATGGCTTAACTTTATGAGAAACCAGTCACAAGCAGTACCGAATAACCTTGAGCAAGAAACAACCAATCAGAAGACTGTGTTTGTCTGCTTGAATAAGCTATAATAGCGTACATGAATATGTATATAAATACGCACTGATTTCCTTAATAAATGATCTGTTACCTGGCTCTTGTCTTCTGTTGATACAGAAGTAGGTTATCGTCCTTCAGGGATGACAGTGATTGATGCATCGAACTTTTGCCAGTGATTTTCCTGAAACAATATTGCCTGTAGCAAATTTATTGGTTACATCCGTTCGTACTAGAATCACATGGTCACTTAGCTGCTTTCTGAAAGTGGAGAAAGGGATGTTTCCTTTCTTAGCATAATGAGTTGCACACAAGTATTCGCGATTCGTCTCGTTGAAGAGTTAAAAAACTGAAATTGAAATCAGCCACATTCTGGACCGGATTATGAAAATAAAGATCTTTACAGATCAGACATATGTTAAGGGTACACAATTTTGTAGACAACGATTTAAAAGGGCAGGCACATGACAGTGTGTCATGTACGGATCATTTGAACTGTGGATTTCGTTGCGAACCGACTTACACTTGAGCATCAAAGGAATACAAGAGCATCGAATTGATATTAAGTCCTAATATGAGATATTTTGTTAAATTTCAACAACTTAACCTTCATATCGAAGTATTTGTCAGAATTACTGACCACTACATGCTGTAAAGTAGTGAGCAATATGTTGTGTGTGCACTTGTTTTCTACCAGCGGAAGAAGACATCTTACGAAGAATGAGGAAGCTGCAGTAAGCGCTTGGTGCCAGTCACGTACCCTTTCTTAACGGATCATCAACAGTCCACCTAGTGTGTTTCATCTGTCCGCTCTTCACATGGTATGCATATTACCCAGATGGATTGAAATCACAATAGAAATATCACAATTGCCCCTCATGTTAACCGACTTTGGCCTATAAAATAAAAATAAACGACCATTCGTCGTGGAAAACAGGTCTCTTCATACTTAAGTATCACCAGCTTGTAGCAAAGAAATAATTTCAACATATCCCCACGACATGTTCTGCCTTCTCTCACTGTATCGACTACTCTATCTTTTCCTTAGGTCACCTTTATTATTCCACTTATCTCAACCTATATTATCTACACTACAACCTATTATTATTCTGCTTTTGTGACTACACCGAATGATCAACGGGAGTTAGGTCAAACTCCATTCATGGCAGCAATACAGTCCTAACATACTGCATACTACAAACCACATCTTGACCAATCCCCGCACCACTCCTCTTGGAGTCTACCAGAGCTAAAGCAGTCGAGTGGCGGGACTTACTACGCAGAAGCTCACCGAAGATCTGGAACCTCTACCTCACGACCAAGAAGCGAGCTCAAAGAAATCACTGGTTTATACTAGCTCGTAATCAGGATATTGTATATTGGATGGTAAATTTCAGCGCCTGGTATGCATCTCAAGGTTATCTGGCGCATAAATATTGAGAAGCTGGGTTAGCGTATCTGGAATTCTTATGAGTTCCTAAAGTTGTTTGTTCTGCATTTATATTTAAGCGTGAGTCAATATTTCGGATTACAGTGTCAAAAGGACTGCAACTGTCATTATTCTATAAATATTGACTTCATAAATTTACCCTATATATTAACTGGATAATTTTAAATGGTGTGTAAATTCTGTCAAACAATCCCTGTGTATTTTGAATAAAGTTCAGAATGAGTAGTTATGAATATTTTTGTGTGTAATCCACGGCGTCACTGTGTACATAGAATAAATGTATTTAATTGACTCACATGTGTGATAATGACAATGCAATACATTTATTAGGTTTTTACTATTGTACATATTTAATCACCTGTCCATGTGTCACATGCAAGTTAATAGCTCGAATGGCGAACAAAGCTCTACTTATTACTAGATCAGAAGTAATTACTTCTGGTCTAATTTTACGATAGCATGGGTTACACAAAAAAACGTTCAAGATAATCTTGTGCTAACTTTGTGAATATCTAGTTTGTCGTGTATTTTTGGCGTAATATCTGTTCAGTAAGTTTATAACTTCGATGTCAAAAAGGTTACTTTAAGAATCATATGTATATATATATATGACCATATGGTCACAGAGGTGGGTACAGTATGTAACGAAAACGCCAGCATTTCAGTATTATTGCAAAACTAAATTATATATATACATACGCATATGTATATTGGTGTATGCTCTGATCAAATGAGTCAGAAAGAAACCTTTAATTACTTTAAGGAGAACAAATAAGGGCCAAATTATTTAATAGGGTAATATGTGTAGGGTAAAATCTAACTTTTTATAGTCTGTCTGTCTGGATTCAACATAGAACTTGGCACCGAAGTGCAGCAGTTCGAGTTGCCACCTTCCAAATAGCACACAGAGGTAGACAAGAAGATGAGTGAAGAGAATCAATACAGTCTGACAAGTATAAGAGTGAAACAGAATGGGTAATGGTAGAAAGGAATATGAAAGATTACAGAGACTGAATACATCTGCGCTAGGCATTGACAACGATTTTGAGCCATGTCACCTATTGTCTCCAGCCATTGATTCCTAGAGTCCCGAGGGCCCCAACCCGGGAGTCTGCATCTCCCTACCTGACTCAGTTTAACTGTCAGTGATTTCATGGATTGATGACATGTTTTTGTTTGGCCACCACTGGCTCTTTTCCAACCTGCACCTATATCAGCTAGCAATGCCCGTCGGGGGAGGCGGTGGTTAGGCATGCGCAGCACGTGACCTAGCCATCTTAGTCTATGTAACTTTATAGCCTCGTCGATTGATTTTCCCTCTTTGCCCAACACTCTACGCCTAACGTCAACATTACTTACCTTATTAAACCACCTAACGTGAGACAGAGATCGCAGACATCTATGATCGAAAGCAGTCAACCTTTTCATGTCTTCAACTCGTATTGGCCATGTTTCAGAGCCATAGAGAAGGACGGAGCGAACTGATGAGCAGTACACGCGTCCCTTGGTTGATAACCGGATGTCACGCCTACGCCAGAGATGGTGTAAGTCAGCGAAAGCAGCTCGAGCTTTTCGGATCCGTGCTGAGATTTCATCACCAATCAGTCCGTTGGTGCTAATACAACTTCCCAAGTAGGTGAAGTGGTCAACATGTTCTATCACTTCCCTCCCTATCACTAAGCTAGGAGTTGACGTAGTCCAGTCCTGTAGCAGCATATTACATTTTGCAGGGGCGAATCACATGCCAAACATAATTTTTTAATTTAATTTTTTTTAATTTTTGATTACAGCTTGATTCCACACTGTATTTTTGGTACAAGTATGGAATTTTCAGCATGGATATCGGTAGCCCAAATTTTGCAGGCCGACCATAGATATCAGGTGTGCGTCGGCGAGGGCTCGAACCTCGGACCATGTGCATGGTCGGCGAGAGTCCTAACCACTGTGCCACCGACGCTCAAGGTGTTCAGAAGACTCTGCATTTTGTCAGCATCCTCCCCTAACAGGACTATGTCATCTGCATATTCTAAGTCCATAAGATTATTCCCTGGTAACAAGTCGATTCCTAAGTCATTACGTTCAGTTAAGGATACTTCCATCAGCATATCTATGATGAAGTTAAACAGAAATGGGGAAAGTGGACATCCTTGTCGGACACCACTTGTTGTTATCAATTCAGATGACAATTCCCCATAAGCCCTTACACGACTACGTGAGTTTGAATAGAGTGCCTTGATTAGTGCAATGTATTTTCTTGGCACTCCCTTCACAGTCAGACATTGCCATATTACCTTTCGATCCACGGAGTCGAAGGCCGCCTTGTTGTAGGGTCAAGTGTTGTTGCTCATCTGGTTAGCCATGGTTGAGATAGAAACTTCATGATTGCGACGTGAACCACAAAGGAAGTGCTCTCTTTTTTAGAATGCTTTTAATTCAACCTAATTCTCCATGCTCCAGGTCATCGGCCCCCAGGCTAAGGATAATATCCGTTAGTTTAGGTTGAGAAATCGAAGCTATTTATTGTAACCGATGTTATTATTTCAACGCGTCCTCCCTGAAATGAAATATAACATTTTAGACGTCCAGTAATTATAGATTGTATATGTGTTTATTGAGCAGCAATCTGCGATATTTGACATGAGATTCGCTCCCGTTAAATGTAAGATGATGCTACAGAACCAAACCACATCAACTCCTAGCTTAAAGATAGACAGGAGTGAAGTGGTAGGATTTGTTGACCACTTCAATTATTTGGGAATTTGCTTCAATCCCGATAGACTGACTGCTGACGAAATCTTAGTAGGGATACAAGATGGTTGTGTGACATTTGCCAACTTACTTCATTTTCGGCGTAGAAGTGACATCTGGCCATCGACCGAACGACGTGTGTACTGCTCAGCAGTGCTCTGTGTCTTCGTTCATAGTTATGAGACCTAGTCATTGAGAGTAGAAGACATAAAAAGGCTAGTTGTGTTTGATCAAAGGTGTGTCCGTTCTATCTCCCGTGTTAGGTGGCACGATAGGGTTAGTAATGTTGAGGTTAGACATCGGTCGAGTGGTAGGTAGGGAGGGAAATCAATCGACGAGGTTGTGAAGCTACATCGATTAGGAGAGATGGTTGGGGGACATGTGTTACGCATGTCTAGCCATCGCCTTCGTCGACGGGCGATGTTAGCTGGTTAGTGGTGGTCAAACCAAAACATGACGGCATCACTCAATGAAATCCACAACAGTTAGTTTAGGCCACGTAGAAATATGTAGACTTCTAGGCTGGTTGTGGTCCTCAGGATGGCAAGAACGACTTGCTAGAGAAAATTAATGATACGACTGAAAATCATTCTCAATGCCTGGCGCAGATGGATTCACTCTTTGTGATTTATCATATCCCATAAAATTCTATTGTTCTCCCATGTTACTGTTCTTTTTGCCTCACATTTCTGTTTATTACGTCTCTCTTTACGCTCTTCTATTGCTGTGTGCTACACGGAGTGAAGCGACTCGAACTGCTGCACATTTGTGCAAAGTTCTACGTTGAAGCCAGTCAATCATATGTGTTTATGGTGTTAATCTGTTAATTTTAGACAGTAGTGTATTTAGGTGCTGAAAAAATACGTAACACCTAATTATGATCTCCATTTATGTTTTAATTTCGATACTTATTTCGTTTCACTAAACAAGTCTGCTAAAGTATTCTGATGAACAAATTGGTTGTTTATGTGAATGATATATGCGGTGCGTGCTTGTACAAGAATACCACTGCTTGGATAATTCCAAGGAAAGTTATGAACTTACGTGTTTACATTAGTCAGGGCGCAATATATCTAAAAGAATATTTATGTGGTATTCTTTTTGCGTTAAAGGGTTTTGGAAAACATTTGTTTTCATTATGGAGCTGTAGATTATTAGATAAAATAGGCAATTCTAACTGACGCCATTTCACTTCACACTTCAATCCAGTCAGTCAAGAAGTTCCAGAAGCTGTTACATATTTCCGAGTATTGGTTTTGTAGGAGTTTTGTTTGATTCGTTGGAGCATTTCATGATGAGCTGACATTAGTCAGAGAACCATTTGAAAACCTGGAAGTGCTGGACAGCTCATCGAAGAAGACATTACGAAGTGGTCGCGCTACGTCATGAATCGGCAGAAGTTAGAATTCATGGGCCATTGGATCGGGTTCCAGAGGCTTAATGGTCTACGAGCTTGCATTGTAGCCAAAAAGTCCTGGGTTCGAACCCCGATAGATGCGTGCTGATGAAGAGTCTCAAACTGGAGCAAAACAACTGTCTAGTACTCCAAGGTTTTCAAGTGGTTCTCTGACTGACGTCAGCTGATGATGAAATCCTCCAACCGATATTACGACAAATGTTCTCTGGTATGATAGATGGATTATTGAGCTGCATCCAACGTCAATCACCATCAACAGGAGGGATTTGAAAGAGGTTACTTCATTCACTTATCTAGGGAGCATTGCCTCAACTACAGGAGGAGCGGACGAGGATGTCAAATCGAGAATCGGGAAGGCGAGAAACACATTCATCAGCCTGAAATCAATCTGGAAATCTTCGTCACTCAGCATCACCAACAAAATTCAGTCGGATTTTCAATACAAACGTAAAGTCAGTTGTTCTATACGGATCAGAAACTTGGCGGGTCACAAAGAATATTTCCAAAAGGCTGCAGAACTTTATTAACAACTCTCTTCGCTCAATACTGAAGATCAGATGGCCGGAAAGAATCACCAACAAGGAATTATGGGAACAAACAAAGCAAGAACCAATCGCCCAACAAATATGCAGGAGAAAGTGGAGATGGACTGGACACTCGCTGAGGAGACCGCTGGGTGACATCACGCGCCAAGCCCTTGAGTGGAACCCGAAAGGGAAGCGGCGTGTGGGACGTCCAAGGGTGATATGGAGGAGATCGTGTGAAGAGGAGTTGAAGGAATATGGATTAACATGGATGCAGGCGAAAAGTATAGCAGAAGACAGAAGAAAGTGGAGACGTGCAGTTGAAGCCCTATGTTCCACTAGGAACCCAAGGGAGCAATAATAATAATATTGAGCTGCATTAACTAAATTAGTAAAAAGTTTTTTTGTTTTTTTCCTTGCTATGGATCACCAGTAATGCTGAAAAAACAATCTGCTTAGTTACCGTATTATGGTACCCAATAAAAAAACTATGTAGACTAAATTTCGATCTTGAAATAGCACACAAAACCTTTGGTAACAGTTAATACTTTCTCATTAACTTACATATATTTCGGTTTTCCGGATTTTTCTTTCATACCTCAGTATGCATTATTAGTTACTGCTAATCAACATTTAATTATCTGCTTCTAATTGATGATCTTATTTTATTTCTAGCTGATCATATTTGCTAATAATGTATCTAATTAGTGGATGTTACTAAACTCCCAATGAATACAAGTTTTGAGAAACAACAACTTGTTTCATGTTATTGTTCACCGCTTGACGGTTGTCCACATTCCAGTTCTGTATGCGTTTCTTCTACGGGATGTTTTCATTCATTGCATTTGGATTCATCATTGACATTTGTGAATCGCGAGTCGTACGGTTGTTTCGCAAACCACACTAATCAAGTTGATTTACACTGTCGAAATTCAAAAGTTGGTACACAGTTGTTGTATTGTTGTTCTGCAAATGATGGTGACCTCTGCAATAAAAATTCAAGTCTACTTGAATTATTGGGCTCTACACATGTGAATTCTAGTGGGATTACTTGGAGACTCATTTTGACAGCAGTTTTGATTCCTCTTTCTGCATTGTTTTGCGGACTTTTGGGTATAATGTTGTTATGGAAGTGCTTTCTGAAGAAACGAATAATGAAGTACGAACGTTATTCTGATGAGCTTGGCTACAAGCATGCTACATTTACTAAAGACATCTCTAATTACCTTGTACAATTCAGTGAACAGCATTTCCCTGATCCCAAGTCATCCTCGTGTATCACACCAAGTAACAAAGAAAAGAAGCTAACATTTAAGAGCGTGACCAATCCAAAGCCTTCATGCGAATTTACCAGTTGCACCAGTGGAAGCGGGAGTGGCATTCCCTTCCTTGTTCAGAGAACTATTGCGCGTCATATAAGATTAGTTGTGTGCATAGGGAAAGGTCGGTTCGGTGAAGTTTGGAAGGCTACATGTCAAGGTGAAACAGTAGCTGTCAAAATATTTTCCAGTCGTGATGAAGCTAGTTGGGCTCGTGAAACAGAAGTGTATAATACTGGGTTGTTACGTCATCCTAATCTACTGGCATATTATGCGAGTGACATGATATCAAGAGGCGGCTGCACCCAGCTTTGGTTAATTACAGCTTATCATGCCAATGGATCCCTACATGATTTTTTAGCTAATAAATCACTAAGACTTCAAGAAGGCTTGCGCCTGGCTGGTTCCATAGCGGCAGGTCTAGCATTTTTACATACAGAAATAAAAGGACTACATGCCAAGCCTGCTATTGCACATCGAGATCTCAAGTCAAAGAATGTGCTTGTTATGCATGATATGACAGCCTGCATAGCTGATTTGGGTCTTGCTTTAGTAAATTTACAGAGTCTTCCAGCCGGACAAATTTCTAATTCCTCTTCAATCTTGTCAGGTGGCGTTATGTCTAGTAGTGTAACTCAGTCAGACAGGCTGTGTAGTGGCTTTTCAGGTCCTTCTTCTTTAGGTCCTCCTCCTGTTGGACCAAGAGTTGGTACCAAACGTTACATGGCGCCAGAGTTGCTGATGGCTGTAGATATATCAACATCAACGAACTGTGTCGACCATACTTTGTGTATGTCAAGTGAAAATGTCGATAATCAAAATCAATGCAACTATCTGCCATTTGAAGTTTATCAGGCTGCAGACATCTATGCAATGGCCTTAGTGTTTTGGGAGTTGGGTCGCTGTACGAAAGGAGCAGTGGGTGAATCAATTGAAGGATATCAGGTTTGCGGATTCTTATCCATTTATTGATTTAACTGGTTATCATAAATGAATTCGTTTTTCTATGAAAACTGCTACATAAATTCGTCCGGCATTATTCTTTGACTTCGAATTACTTTATAGTTAGCGTTAATAGCTTCAGTGTAGGGTTTTGAGGTAAGCAGACGCTTCGCCATCAGTCTACAAAGAGTCTAGACAGTGAAGAAATGCATATATATATATATATCCATCTGAAATTATTCACTACTTCAGGAAAGTAAAAGTAATTTTCACTGGTTCTTTACACTCAAGTAATGATTCGCAAAGTAGATTTCACATATTTTTAAACAAGGGTCGCTAAAATTATTAGTAATTCAAAAGACAATGCAGTCCTTCATGACTCACTGAGTATTAGTAATTTGTTCAGTAACTTTAAGATACACTAAATATCTAAGTGATACATAAAAAAATTAGAAACAATAAATACACTCAGGCTTCTCCTTGGCTTACCGCATGAACTGCTCTGATGTCTTGTGTTTCGTAATTTGGTTTTTAAAACCTTGTTTGGGGTGTGACAGTATACATCTTTCGCGTCCACAGGCGTCAGTGGAATCAACTTATGATTATTAGTATTGTTCCGAGTGGAACATAGGACTTCAACAACACCTCCACTTTGTTCTATTTTCCGCCATTCTCTTCATCTGAGTCCACGATTGCCAAAAGTAGCTCATCCCTTCCTCACACGACCTCCTCCATATCACCCTAGGATGACCCACTCGTCGTTTCCCAGTTGGGTTCCACTGGACGGCCTGGTGCGCGGTGTCATTTGACGGTCGCTTCAATGTGTGCCCGATCCATCTCCGTTTTCTCTTACATATTTGTTGAGCGATTGGCTCTTGTCTGGTTTGTTCCCACAGTTTCTTGATACTAATTCTTTCTGGCTAGCTACTTGATCTTCAGTGTGGAGCCAGCGAAGGTGGCAGCAGTTGATGAAAGCCTGCAACCTATTGGAAATCCTTTTCGTTACACGTTAAGTCTCTGATCAATATAGAAGAACTGACCGACTTGACATTGGTATTGAAAATCCGAATCCTGTTCCGTATGCTGAGTGTAGATTTCCAAACTGGTTTCAGATTGATGAAGGCATATCTTGCCTTTCCGATTCTAGCCAGCTTTGACATCTTCATCCGTTCCGCCTGTAATTGAAACGATGCTTGCTAGATAAGTGAAGGAGGTAACCTCTGTTAAATCTCTGCCGTTGATAGTAATTGGTGTTGGTTGTTGTTGCGGTTCGTTGGCTGGTTATCTTCATCACCTTCGTCTTCTCTATGTTCACCCGTAGTCCTGTTTTCGCTGCCTCCTCAGGCAGTTTGTTTGTTTTCGTCTGTAAGTCTTCGAGTTTGTATGACATTAGGCATATATTATCTGCGAAATCTAGATCTTCTAAAGTCTTCTTATCGGTGGTCCAGGATACTCCTGTCTCCTCACTCCCGACACACAGCCTAACGCATAATCCAGTCTACCACAATTAAGAATATCATCGGTGATAATAGGCGGCCTTGTCTTACTCCTGTATTCACTTCGAATGTCTTGCTGATTTTTCCGTTGTGCATCACCTGATACGTGCCACTGTCATATAGCTGTTGAATGAAGTTGATAAAAACTTGAAGTACGCCGTAGTTTTGAAGTAGTTTCTAAATTACTTCTCGGTCAGCACTGTCTGGTGAAGGCCTTTCTGAAGTCGATGAAGTTAAGGTAGAGGCTTGACTGCCATTCTATGCCTTGTTCTGTGATGACGATGATGCGCAGAGTTGCAATTTGTCTGTCTGTTTTCGACATAGAACTTTGCACAAATGTGCGGAAGTTCAAGTCGCCACACTCCGTGTAGCACGCGAAGCAAGAGAAGAAAGTACAAGAAAAGCATAATAGAGACAGTGAGCAGAGGTGTGAGACAAAGGAGTAATAAAGAAGAACAAAACAGTTTCATTGGAGATCATAAGTCACAAGGAGTGGATGCATCTGCGCCACTGAGAACGATTTTGAGCCATGTCACCAATTGTTTCCAACCATAGATTTTTACCGTCCCGAGGACCCCAGCCTGGAAGTCTACACCTTCCTACGTGGCTTAGACCAACTGTTGTGGATTTCATTGACTGGTGCCAAGTTTTTGTTTGACCGCCGCTAGCTTTTTTCCAGCCTGACCCTATATCCGCTAACATTGCTCGTCGAGGGAGGCGATGGCTTGGCATACGTAACACATGTCCTAACCATCTCAGTCTTTGTAGCTTCACGACTTCGTCGATTGATTTCCCCTGTTTACCTAGAACTCTACGCCTAACCTCAATGTTGCTCACCTTATTATGCCACTTTACACGGGAAATAGAGCGCAGGCACCTATGATCAAAGACAGCTAGTCTTTTCATGTCTTCCACTCTCAGTGGCCAGGTCTCACAACCATAAAGGAGGACGGAGCGGACTGATGAGCAGTACACCCGCCCTTTGGTCGATAGTCGAACATCTCGTCTACGCCAGAGTCGGCGTAAACTAACAAATGCGAAACGAGCCCCTTGTATTCGTGCTGAGATTTCGTCAGAGATCAACCCGTTGGGGCTGATGGTACTTCCCAAATAAGTGAAGCGGTCAACGTGCTCTACCACTTCACTTCCTATTTTTAAACTAGGCGTCGATGTAGTCCAGTCCTGTAACATCATCTTGCATTTGGCGGGAGCGAATCGCATGCCAAACATTCGTAGATTGCGGCTCAAGGTGTTTAGAAGACTCTGCATTTCGTCAGCGTCTTCGCCTAGAAGGACTATATCGTCTGCATATTCCAAGTCAACGAGATTATTCCCTGGTAGCAAGTCAATCCCTGAGTCGCTGAAGTCACCTAGGGTTAAGTCCATTAACACATCTATGATGAAGTTGAATAGAAAAGGGGATAATGGGCATCCTTGACGGACACCACTGGTCGTCATCAGTTCAGATGACAGCTCGCCGTAAGCCCTCACCTGGCTGTATGAGTACGAGTAGAGTGCCTTAATCAGTGCAATATATTTTCTTGGAATTCCCTTTACAGCCAAGCATCTCCAGAGAACTTCCCGATCGACAGAGTCGAATGCTGCCTTTAGGTCAAGAAATATAATGACTGTTGGACGCCGGTAGGAATGCCTATGTTCTAGAATCTGTCGGAGGGTGAAGATATGATCAATACACCCTCTTCCTGGTCTAAAGCCTGCCTGGCTCTCTCGTGTTTGTGCCTCCCGAGCACCACTCAGTCTACGCATGATTATTGAGCCTAAGACTTTAGATACTATATTAGTCAAGCTAATCCCTCTGTGATTATCACAGGAAGACTTGTCTCCCTTCTTGTATATGGGGATAATCAGTGACTTACACCAACCCGATGGGACTTCTTCTGATTCCCAGACGCTGCCTAGTACCTCAGTTAATGCAGACAGTAAGCTGTCTCCACCGTACTTAAATACCTCTGGAGTCATTCCATCAGGTCCCGCTGCTTTGCCTAGTTTCAGATTGGTGACAGCTTTAGTAACCTCAGTTAGTGACGGAGGACCTGTGTCTATATCCCATTCAGGGAGGTGTTGGATGCTCGGAAGGTTGAGCGTGGCTGTGGGCCAATTAAACTGCTCCTCATAATGCTCTTTCCAACGATCCAGTCGTCTATCCTGGGAGCTAATTATAGTGCCATTTTTTTCCGAGATTGTCTCACTAATGATTTGTCTTCTCCCACCCGTTTCCCTGATGAGTCCAAAGAGTTGCCTGGTGTTGCCTATCCTCGAAGCTTTCTCCATCTCTTTGGCTTTTGTCGCCCACCACTGTTCACGGTCCTTGCGGAGACTTTTCGTAAGTTTCCTCTTGTGCAGCTTTCGCTCCTCATTGAATTCGGAGCTCGCCGGAATAAGTCTTCTAGCATCTATCAGTTCGGATGAGGCGGTGGAGATCCAGTGGTTTTTACTCACCTTTGGGTTTACCTTATTCACAGCTTTTACAGCTGTATCTATGGCTGCCTGGATATTTTTCCAAGCTTCTTCAGGGTGAGCACAGCTGTCGAACACAGATATGTGTTTAGCTAGTTCTTCCTCAAATACGGATTTAGTTTCCTGATCGAGCTGGGGACGTGATGGTTTTACCGCCAGCTGTTTCCTACGTCCGTTCAGTCGTAAGCACACCCGAGCGCGGACCAGTGCATGGTCGGTATCTACACACGTGTTCCAGAAGGAGCGACAATCTCCTACCGACCCACGCCAACGATAGAGTTGCAGTTTGGTCAGAACATGATTTGCTTTTCCTGAATCCAGCTTGTTCTGGCGGGTAGAGTTGTGCATCCAGTGCATCTGTTATTCTCTCCAGAATGATGCGACTTAGTATTTTACTTGGCGTGGACAAGAGCATGATTCCATGCCACTTCTTGCACAGAACTAAATCGCCCTTCTTTGGCACCTTGACAAGGTAGTCAGTCTTTCTTCCAATTGGTAGGTACCTGTCCTTCTTTTTTAACCTTATGCAATAATGGCGTGAGCACATCTGCGGCAGCCTCTGGGTCCGTTTTCAGTGCTTCAGGGTGGGGGAGTTCCGTCTGGGCCTGCTGCCTTTCCGACTGGCTTGCTGTAGCTTGATAGCATTTAGTATTTCAGCTTTCGTTGGGGGATTGGTGTCCACTGGCAGGAAGTTCTCTGTGTGCTGTTGGTGGTGGTGTATTTTGGTGCGAGTTGCAGGTGATGATCGATTCAAGAGTCCTTTAAAGTGATCAGCCCATTGTTTTACTTGTCTCTCCTCCCCGGTAATCGGGTTCCCTTGAGCATCTTTTATTGGTTTCATCATCTCGTTTGATCTCTTACCGGATAGAGAATTGGTTATTTGATATAATGTCCTGAGGTCCCTTTGCCCGTGGCTTGTTCTGCTCCAGTTGCCAATGTGTCGTAGAATTGTCTTTTGTCTTTCCTAGAATTCGTCTTTACTGCTTTGTTCAGTTCAGGGTACACTGAACTCAGCTCCTCCTTCTCTTCTGCCGTCCACTTTGCAGTGAGTCATCTGCTCTTTCACCATCCTCCTCTCCTCGATTAGCTTCTAGGTATCCGTTGACAGCCACTCCCTGTCTTGTCCCTTCTTTCTTCCCAGAACAGTTGTACACGTTTCCTTGAATATTGCCTTCAGAGAATTCCAATGTTTTTCACGCCGATGTCCTCAGTAATGCCACGTAGTGTCTTGAACTGTTGTCTGTCTCCATTTGTTTTCATGGATTTCAGCTTCACCTTGAAGGTTCCCTAAACTAAGTAGTGGTCTGAGCCCACATCTGTTCCCTTTCTCGACTTTGTGTGCAGCAGGCTGCGTCTTCACTTCCTTGAGATTGATATGAGATCCATCTGGTTTGTAGAATGTCCATCAGGCAGAATTCATATTGCTCTGTGTATATCCTTGTGTTTGTACACGCTGCTTCCAATCTCCATATCATTGAAATCGCGGGAGTCTGCGAAAAGTTGTCTGTAAAATCCTCCTTTTCCTGTTCCGTGTTGTTTGCAGCACTGTGTGTGGCATTGATTAATTGTAACCTTATTTCCTTTTGAGTTGAATCTTGCTGTCATAATCTTGGATGAAGTTGGTTCTCACTGCATTGGGGTTTTGGCTGCCACTGGTGACGTCATAATAGCCACTCCCTCAGTATGTTCTTGACTGTCGTCTGGGTGGCCGAATTAGATTGCTAACTCCAGTTGACATTTTTGAAAGTCCGCATCCATTCCATCTACTTTCGCAGATGTCCAGTACTTCTAGGCCATATCTTCGCATTTCGTTGGCTACCTTGCCAGCCTTCCCCAGTCAGCCTCGTACATTGTACGGACATTCCACATTTCCATTCTTATTCTTGCTTTCATCTAGAGATGACACATTGGCTGACTGACTTTCCGGAGGCTTTTATCAGCCCACTGTGTCATTTCACCTCTCCAATTCGAGCAAAGAATACGATTTTTATATGTATTTTTTGTATTTTTAATATATTTTCTGTGCGTTTAAGTTTTTCTAACGGTCTGATAGGTTTAGTGGTGTGGGGTTGCTAGCCCCATGCCCAACACTCCCTCTTTGCCTGGGGCTGGGATCGGCTAGAAAACTAGGAAGCTAGTTAAGTAGGCAAGGTTAGCATATGTTAAAAAAATAATCATATCCTTGAACTACCTCAGTACTCAGAAAACCGAAATTCTTTCTTAGCCTTTACTACTAATATGCATTCTTGGCTATTCTAACTCTATTTTAGTGTAATTTATTGCAAATGTAATCGGAGTACTGTGAAATGAATCAGTTCTAGCACAACACGATGAAATGGATCTCTTTTCACCAAGTTTTACTGCATATTTCATGAATGCGACTTTATACAACGCCAATGTCATGTTAGAAAGACTTATGAGTCCTAAATATTAGTCGTTACTTTAAGCATAATTTTCCTACCTGATCAGTTTTATAAGAATAGAACTGGGGCACTTTGGTAGAGTATAATCCCAACCATAGAGTAGATCTATTTTATAAAATCACACAGAGTTAAAGCATTTTTAATATTGTATCACTGTGTGATTTAATCGAATAAACTTACTGTATGGTGTAGCTGACTAGTTTTGTATTGTATACATATGGAGTGAACTGCTTGCATTACTCAAAACATTCTGTGCTGTTGCAAATTTTTAGTTTTTTTTCTCATATCTATTTTGTCGTTAACTGTTTATTCCAAACTTTTTTCCACAGATACCATTTTACGATTTGGTTCCTTCTGATCCAACTTTCGCACAGATGAGAGATATTGTTTGTGGAAATACTTTGACCACAAACGACACGCTTAAACAATCAGATGAAAGTAGTGAAAAAGGCCACACAGAAAAAGAGAACAAACTCACTAAAATAAGTCCAGATTACGATGAGAGACAATGCAGACCTCGTGTTTACCAACGCTGGATGGATGATGCTTATTTATGCCGTTATGCACAAGTTATACAAGAATGTTGGCATGATGATTGGTCTGCTCGCCTTTCTGCCTTGCGTGTTCGTAAACGTCTAGAGCAAATCGAAGCTGCTGTAAGACAGTTATTTGTCAAGAAAAAAGTGGAAGATCATCACATCCATTCTAATTTAAATGATCTATCCTCACTGGTTGCCAACAACGAAAAAGCCTTGCTTTAACTTTTGAATTTTCTTTTTGTATGACAATAATTATTACTGAATTTTCGCTTCAGTACATGCATTTACCTTTTATTTATTATTAGTTTTTGAATATTTTCATTTTATAAATAATTTCATAGTTCGAATGCTTTGTTGTTTTGCGAGTAACTATTTTAATATTGATTGGGGTTAACTTGTGGCTGTGTCTGTATACATCGGAATTATTTCACTTACAACACTTTGTACAAATAATTATGCGTGTGAAGCTTGACTTATTTTATGAGCAAAGTTGATAACATCATTTTTATGGTGAGTATATTAGACTTAGATTACTCAGGTGTTCCTACTAGGAGGTGGTAGTCAATTGTTGATTTTCTAAAGTGGTTTACTGGGTTTCGTAAGATCTCTAAAATCAATATCGTATGTGTTCTTGTAAGGAGTATTTAGTCACCTTCAATATGATTGAAAGATTCTGTGCGGTCTGAACACAAAAACAGATCAAAACTGTATAATGCATATTTTTATAATTAGTCAAAAAATAACTAGTCTTCCTGCCGTAAATGTGGAGTTTGTACAACCTCTACACTGATCTAAAGAGATTCGAAGTTGTCTAGTGTTTAGGGAGGCAACCGAAAGAGATGGAAAAGGCGTCGGCGATTGGTTACACCAGAAAACTATTGAGACTTATCAGGGAAACAGGTGGTAAATGGCAAACGATAAGTGAAACAGTCTCTGAGGAAAATGACACCATAATTAGCTCCCAGAATAAACGACTGGAAAGATGATATGTATCCATATATATATATATATATATATATATATATATATATATGGTGGTCTCTCTTTCTGTTGCTCTCTTAGTCTGTGACCTGTCTATGAACATGTCTCCTTTAACAATGTATCTTCCCCTTATATTATATATAATATGTGTGTTTGTTTGACATGTCTGTTATATTTGCTAGGTATATATGGATCGATATTCCATTATAATTAGCCAATCATGTTAAGACTGTCTATTGATTTGTTCATTTTGGATATTCGCTCACACACAAGTGTGTTCACACACTTGTTCGGACATTCATATATATATATATTTGCTCTCACACACTTGTGTGACGATATTGATTCTTCTGGTGTTTTGGAAAATAGAAGTATCATCGCAAACCTAGTGGTCTTCTGTTTTCCGTCTTTCTTGCGTCAGGACTATTAATCTCTCGACCAGTACACAACAATAATTTGGCGGCGAGTACATAATAAAAGAACACTTTGAGGAGCAGTTGAATTGGCCTACGGCCACGCTCAGCTTACCGAACATCCAACACCTCCCTGAATGCGATATAGACGCAGGTCTTCTGTCCGTAACTGAGTTTACTAGTCTGAAACGAGGCAAAGCAGCAGGACCTCATGGGATGACTCCAGAGGTATTTAAGCACGGTAGAGACAGTTTACTGTCTGCATTAACTGAGGTACTAGGCAGCGTCTGGCAATCAGAAGAAGTCCCATCGGGTTGGTGTAAGTCACTGATTATCCCCATATACAAGAAGGGAGACAAGTCTTCCTGTGATAATCACAGGGGGATTAGATTGACTAATATGGTATCTAAAGTCTTAGGCTCAATAATCATGCGTAGACTGAGTGGTGCTCGGGAGGCTCAAACACGAGAGAGCCAGGCAGGCTTTAGACCAGGAAGAGGGTGTATTGATCGTATCTTCACCCTTCGACAGATTCTAGAACATACGCATTCCTACCGGCGTCCAACAGTCATTATATTTCTTGACCTAAAGGCAGCATTCGATTCTGTCAATCAAGAAGTTCTCTGGAGATGCTTGGCTGTAAAGGGAATGCCACGAAAATATATTGCACTGATTAAGGCACTCTACTCGTACTCATACAGCCAGGTGAGGGCTTACGGCGAGCTGTCATCCGAACTGGTGACGACTAGCGGTGTCCGTCAAGGATGCCCATTATCCCTTTTTCTATTCAACTTCATCATGGATGTGTTAATGGACATAACCCTAAGTGACTTCAGCGACTCAGGGATTGACTGGCTACCAGGGAATAATCTCGTTGACTTGGAAATATGAAGACGATATAGTCCTCTCTCCTAGGCGAGGACGCTGACAAAATGCAGAGTCTTCTAAACACCTTGAGCAGCAATCTACGAATGTTTGGCATGCGATTCGCTCCCGCCAAATGCAAGATGATGTTACAGGACTGGACTACATCGACGCCTAGTATAAAAATAGGAAGTGAAGTGGTAGAGCACGTTGACCGCTTCACTTATTTGGAAAGTACCATCAGCCCCAACGGGTTGATCTCTGACGAAATCTCAGCACGAATACAGGGGGCTCGTCTCGCATTTGCCAGTTTACGCCGACTCTGGCCTAGACGAGATGTTCGACTATCGACCAAAGGGCGGGTGTACTGCTCATCAGTCCGCTCCGTCCTCCTTTACGGTTGTGAGACCTGGCCACTGAGAGTGGTAGACATGAAAAGGCCGGCTAGCTGTCTTTGATCATAGGTGCCTGCGCTCTATTTCCCGTGTTAAGTGGCATAATAAGGTGAGCAACATTGAAGTTAGGCGTCAAGTTCTAGGTAAACAGGGGAAATAAATCGATGAAGTCGTGAAATTACAAAGACTAAGATGGTTAGGACATGTGTTACATATGTTTAGTCATCGTCTTCCTCGACCACGGCCAATCTCAGCTGACAGTGTCAGGTTGAAAAAGAGCAGCTGGTGGTCAAACCAGAAACATGGTTTCATCAGTCAATGAAATCAATAGCGGTTAGTTTAAGCCAGCCACATAGGGAGGTGTAGACTTCCTGGTTGGGGTCCTCGGGACGTTAAAAACAAATGGCTGGAGACAATCGGAGATATGGCTCAAAATAGTTCTCAACGGCTTGCGCAGATGCATCTACTCCTTGTGACTTATAATTTCCAAGGAAAATATATTGTTCTTCGATACTAATATTCTTTTTGGTTGATATCTGTTTCCTGTCTCTATTTTGCATTTCTTTTTACTTTCTCTTGCTTTGTGTGCTACATGGAGGGAGTGTGGTAACTCGAACTGCTGCACATCAGTGCAAACTTCTGTTTTGAAACCAGTCAGTCAGAGGCAATCAAAGAACACTACAATAATTACAGTCCCGTAGAGTCCGGCATAAGTTGGTTACAGTATCGCTCTCCATAATCAGTTGTATAACTGAGGTAGTTTTGTTAAAGGAAGATGTCTAAAATGACTTATATGTTTTGCAATCATCAGAAGCATAAGCATTACATTATCCATATTTTTAATGTGTCATTCTTGTCACAGATGTTTGGTGTGTGTATGTCACTGCTTGGCCGAGTGTGATACTTTCACTAAAACCAGTTTTGGGGGATGTTCTTGTTTCAGTCACCAAACAGAATCCTAAACCCTTAGAAGTTTGTAAATTTGAAAACAACTGTGATTTCACTCTTACGAAACATTCTAGAAACAAGTTTTAGACGCCTCCTCTTTATATGTCAACTACATTGACACTTTAGTTTGCTCCCTATTCAGTGAACAATTACCGCCCACATTATTTTCTATTTCTCTTTAAGCTGTCTATAAAGTTTGTAAAACACCTGTGAACTGAGAAGTTGTGGGTCAGTAAAAGTGAACCTTCGTGACTAATTATTAGAGATGTACATTTAAAATACAGTGGAGAATGTCAACTGTAGTCAAACCTAATGGTAACAATTAACAAACCATTGTAGTGTATATCGGAAAAGAAAGGTGGTAAATTTTGAAGATTCCGTAAATAGTCCTACATAATCTTAAGTACACGTTAACGTTTAGGAAGTCACTTGGGCATAAGACTTTGGGAACACGAATATCATATACAAGGAATACCGATGGACTTCTTAGAAAGGAACGGAAATAGGTTATATCCGAAACTGTTGTTACAAGAGCGTGGACAATGGCTTTTGCACATGAAGTTCAGAGACTTTGTGTTTGGCCAAGATGAGAGCGAAGTACCCTAGAAGGATTTGATATTACCTCACGTACCGAACCTGAGAAAATAAGAATCTGGCTGTCTGTTATACTGCCTTCTTCCCTCGGCATCTTTGCTGGTATGTGTTTATGAATACATCTAGATAGAGTCCTACTAGTATGGCACGTATGTCTCGCGAGTAGACTGATATATGTTGATGTGCCAACAGCGAGACTTTGTCTAACATTATGCTGAACAAGTGCAGGTGAGATGTGGCATAGAAGGTATACCTAACTGCACTAGAGAAGTGGGTTTGAAGAGCTTAACCTGTTGTGTATCGCTTGTGGAATTCAACTTCTTGCTTACAATTCCTGAATGATAGTGGATATCCAATCGGAACCAGCATTCCGTAGGACACAAATACCCTGCTCTATCCACCATCTGTAGATATGTCATAAATTTTTGTTACAAGAGTTGGTACGATTTATTTTTCTGCTTATTGCGACAGAGCCGTAGGATGAATGACTCTCCCATCTTGATTTTAGTGAAGCTGCCTTTGAAGTGAGAAGAGTAACAATGCTCTCCTTTCCGTCCATTTGATTTTGTAATTCGATGAACCCGTTCAGTCTACATTCTTTTAAATAGAAACCAAGTGAAGTGATTACACTTCAGGATATGTTTGATAGTAATGATTTGTCAATACGATCAAGTCTGGTAAGAATGCAGGTGAAAATAACTCGGAACAGTATAATTCCTAATGTAAACCGTATTAAACTTACAATGATTTTTGGATTACAGCCGAAGCTTTTTAGTCATATGATAATTATTTTGTATGTATCTCCGATACTTTGCTGGACTATGGTTTCATATTCCACAAATTTATATGTCATGTAGTGACATATAATTAAACTTGCTTGACGTGTCTTTTTTACAACTTCAGCCAATGCTGCACACGTTGTTAAGTGACCTTAACACCTACCCTATCACATTAAGCTGTAAAGAAAGCCTTACTGTCTAAATTGTTAACATACAGATTGCACTGAAAGCAGGGGATAACATGTGGACAACGAAGATTCAAGCTTCATCAAGTTAATGACAGCACTATTTTCTGAAGGTCATCAGTTAACTTGACGACACCATATGACAAGTTTAGGAAAGTCAAAATTGGCTGCCGGTTCACGTTAAATACTACTACAATATCCTTACTAGGTTATCTTAGGGTAGTAGGAGTGTCTTACATATGACTATAAATATTTGTCGTAGAGAGATCTCCACTAATCAGCTCTGATATTGGAGCACTTCATCCGGGTTTGTTACACGAGATTTCTTGATTTCTAAGTGTTTTAGTTAAACTCTATGTCACTGCACGCAAATGTCACATAGACTGCCCCTCTGCACAGTAACTGCCCTGAAAGCAAGACACATAAATAAGACTTAAAGATACACCGTAATCCCCAACTAGTAGTAAACTGATTAACTACTGCGATGTCGTAGTAGGTCCAGAAAACATTCCGCGTTACTTAACGGACACTCAAATCATATTCAACTTCAGGATGTGAAGTAAACTAAAGAAACCACTAATCTGAAAATGTATGTTGTCTTTCTTACCAATACGAGCATATCATTCAAGAATAAATCAAGTTTTTCCACTTTCCAGAATAGTCACACTTTTAATCGGTTAACTAAGAAAAGCAACTCACTTTTCCATCATATTTCTATCTACTCCATCAGACTGCTACCTCTGTTCCTTTGACAACAATAGGGACGCTCCTCACAATGATAAATTTTCTGACAATAGTAGCTCAGACTACAGTATTAACACTCATCGTGTTTCAAACAGCAAATACTG